CCTCATCACCCTTCTTGTCATTTTCTTCTCCACCTCCTACCTCTCTTCCACTCCTAGTCATAATAGCTTTTTAATGTTCATTTGGGTTGGTTTCAGTGTTAACAGAAATGAATGGCCCTAATTGTTGCTTGGCTAATTGTTTCGCAAGTTTCCCCACTTGGCTTTCAAGATTTTTAATCGCCGCCTCATTACTTTTTTTATTGGCCATAGACATTTGCATTAATTGGGTGAGAGTGTCTTCCAACTTTGAACTTTCACTTTGAGGTTATGGAGGTTGAGTGTTATTTTGATAAAGATTTTGATGGTTTGAAGTTCCAGCATCTTGTCTCCAACCTTGTTGATAACCTTGGTTATTTCCTCTTTGTTGGTAACCTTAGTTTTTTTATAAGGTTGTTGTATTCCTCTATAGCCTTGATTTTGATTTTGGCTACCCATATAATCCACTTCCTCTTCAATCGGAGGACAATACCACATTTGATGATCTCCCTTGCACAACTCATATGAAGTAACTTACTATTTTTTTTTTGCTAGGAAGCTCTCGCAATTCTGTAATTTGTTGAGGAAGTCTAGACATTTCCTTGTGAGCTCTTCCACTTGTTGAGTAAGCAACTTGTTTTGAGCTAAGATTGCATCATTAGTCTCCAATTCAAGAACCCCCGACTTCTTTTGTGAATACCCTTAGTTAGTTTGAACTTGGTGATCATTCCTTGCCATCTTCTCAATGATTTCAATTGCTTCCTCTGAAGTTTTTTCCATTAAAGGACCACCGCGGTATCATCTAACAAGATTTTTGGTTGAGGTAGAAGACCATTGTGAAAGATGTGTATTTGAGTGATATCATCAAAACCATGACTCGAAAACTTCCTAATCATTGATTTATACCTCTCATGTGCTTTATTCAGAGACTCGTTTCCACCTTGTGAAATTACATAAATTGCAGTTTTAACTTCCATGAATCTTGATTGTGGAAAAAAAACTCTCAATAAATTTCTCCTCTAGAACATTCCATTCCATCATTGTTTGAGTAGGTTGATCAAGGTACCAATCCTTAGCTTTCCCAATCAAAGAATGTCGGTCTTCATCTCATAATTCCTCGCATTGTTAGCATTGTGAGCAAATTGAGCATTCCTCCTTGGACTATTTATACATGGCACTCTTGGAGGTGGTGGTGGATCCGCCTTAACTTCTTATTGCCTTAGAGGTGTTGAAGAAGTAGAAGTTTTTTCTCTTTCTCTCCTTTCTTTGGCTATCTTTCTTCTCGTTCTGGTTTTGCTATTAAGTCTCTGAACAATCCTTTTGATTTCAGGGTAAAAAAGGAGTTGATCTTCAGGTACACTTCCTCGCATAAACAAAAATATGAAACACTAACCAAACAAGTGAACAAATACTAGGAAATATCAGTGTATTGGTACAAGTAACTCTCAAAATAATAAACTATTGTAATGCTTGAAATATCTTAAACGCATATCCCCGACACTAACGCTATTTTGATACAAATTAATATCAACTCACAAATCCGTGTCTAGAGTTTTTTTCATTGATAGATGATAATCTTAGGTCATGGTTTGAAAAATATCTTTCAATAGTGATTCAAATCAAAGAGACAGTAATAAAAGCAAAGATTAACATCTATATTGATCATAAATTTATTTGCATGCAAAGGATTAAAAGTAATACATACTACATAGATTAACTACCTCTAATTTTGACACAAGAGATGTTTAGCTATCTATAGACATGGTAGCTTCAATAACTGGTAAAATGAGAAGATGATCAAACATCAATGTTAATTTCTTGACTATTGATGCATAATCAACTTTGATTCTTAGCTTCTGCAATCTTTTGATCTGTTTTCTCTCCTCCAAATGTGTTAACTCCCCCAAAATATTTTATTTGAATTATAAATAGAGTGGGCAAAAGTCGCAGACTGCACTAAGCGCGACATTGCGTGCTAAGCACGCTCCCACTTAAAACTCAAATCGCCTTACAGCGTGCTAAGCGCATTCAACCGGGCTTAGTTCCAAACTCTCGGGTCGTTCTCCATCCACCGTGCAATGATCGCGCTTAGCATGCCCTGTAGCATGCTTTCTCCATCAAAAATTGCTTGCAAACCATCTCTAAGCCCTTCAATGGTCCAAGCTTCAATCCAATGCATAAACCTACAAATTTTAGACAAAAATTGATTAACTATAAATTATTCACTCGATTAAATCAAAATATAATTATTTACATAGAAACAAGGGGAAATACAAGAATATGCAAAAAATAGAATCGAAAAGCACCAATAATTATACTAAACATTAACACATTTTAGCACCTAACAGAGACGTACAATAAACTTTGGAGGAAGACCTCGTAAGTTTACATGAATTCCTGAGCAATTTACTCAAGATCGAATACATATTCCTTAAACACGTAAAAGCAATGAAACAATATCTATTTCATTTCACTCACAGTTTACACTGCAAGATATTACTTTACAAAAAAATGTAAAGGAGAGCGAAAATGTTCTACTTGCTAATCTCGAAGAGAGACCATTTCCACATCTTTGAGCATCTGGTCCAACCGTACTTGTTCCTTATAAATATGTATAGGAGAGTTAAAATGCTCTACTTGATGCAAGGCATTCTCGACAGACTCTGAAGCAACTGTGATACTAGCAACAAATGATTCACTTAAACTCTGATGCAAAGAAGCATTCTCAAGACACATGTTCTCAAGGTCTCCCTAAACGGAAGAGAGAGACACATGTATAACAATTAAAGTAGCTCGCGCAAAAGCCGTAACTCATTAGAGCACCAGGATACAAACACTCATATCCACCATATGTTTCTCCTCGTGTCACTGATTAGACAAGAAGACATCCTAAAGACCAACACCGTTAATGGCTAGAATAGTAGAAGCATGTAGGGTGTAGTAAGCCAGATTCGACGAACGAATCAACGACAAGGGGCAAAAATATATAAAACTCACAAAAAATGACCTTTCTCTCCTTCTTAATGCAAGCATCCATCAACAAGCGAGTTTCAATAATCTTCTTCAAATATTTTCATGAAGTCTCGTCCCAAGGAGTGACACCCTAACGTAACCGAACTCCTTAATTAAAGTAACAACCCCCCTCTTTAAGTAAAGTTCCTCCTGAGGCAAATCGTCCTCCTTATAGATGTACAATCCATTCCCTATTAGGAAGTTATCTTTGTTTCCGTTCTTAATAAACAACCCACTACACTTATCTTCCACCTAGCCCTTAAATATACATTATTACATAGACCTCTTTATAGAGAGTAACAATTAAGAAGAATCGATATTCACACAAAAACTATATATACAAAACTTCTCACTCCCTTACTTGAACTAACTCTCAACAATATAATACATCTTAAAACCATTTGAAAATCCTTAATCATTAGAGTCGTCACGTATTTTATTTTTAAGAAGTACATCTCGTATTTGTGTTAAACATTTGTTTAAATCCTCTATTAGAATGAAGATTGTAAACACATACATTTTGTTTTTTATTTGATTATTTTTTTTCAAAGGGTTAAATTGTAGTAAAATTCTTTAAGAAGGCAAAAGGAGTAAGTTGTAACCAAATATTTTGAGAAGGTAGAGAAATTAAGTTGTAGTCACTTCTTTGTGTTTGATAAATATAAGGTATAAGTTTGTTAGACTACAATATATAGATTAATCTATATACCTTTGTGTTGAGAATTAACTCTCGAGACATTACTAAAATATAAGGTATAAGGTCGAGACATTACTCTAGATTTTGGGATGAGCCACAATAACCTTTGTGTTTCGATATCACTTTTCTATTTATTTACTTTTAACATTTTGAGTTTTAATTGGTTTTTATTTTACAACTAACGTTATATCGATGGATTAGATGAAACGGTGAATTGAAAAACTTAAACCTGATACCTAAATAAAAAATATACGAATTAGTATGTGTTAGATTGATTATACTCATAAATTAATTAATTTAGATAATATATAGATTAATTCGATTTGGATCAACTAATTCATAGGTTGACTTGCACCATAAATACTACATAAACCAATTTTTAAACTGGTGAGGACTATAATTAATAACAAAATTTTATTAAAAAAAAGTTAACATTAATGTTGAAAAAATCATTATCATCTCACCTAAGTGTTTTTGAATAATTGAATTTTTTATTGATACAATATTTTTCAATTTTTAATATAAATATATTAAATGGGCAAATATGTGCTCATTGGAATAATTCAAATTACTTTTAATTTAATATCACCCTTTTGCATTTATGACAATGCAAAAATATTCAATATTTAATAAAATTAATTCAATAAAAGTATTATTATCTGTAATGTATTTATATGGAGTATATTTTAATGATATATATGAAATAGTCAAATGAATATTTATTACAACTTTAATTGCTAATTTTTAAAATTTATTTTATAATTAAAATTTTGTACCTTTCTCTTAAATTATTATCCTCTACTTTATACTTCTAATGATAAAAAAAGTAAATTAATAATTAATAATAATAATAATTTAAATTAAATATATTTATGAAGTGATCTAATTCAACAAATATAATAAAATGAATAAAATATATAGATTAAAAATAAAATTTAAGAATAAAAAATTAATTAAAAATAGTAGCAATAAATTGTAAGAGAGGTATATTTATTACTCACATCTAACCCCCAAGTAAGGTCAATAACTTAACCATAGATTAGAACTAGAGTTAAAAAACACAAGTTGTTAAGAAGGGACAACCACATAACCCGGATTTCTATTATCAACAGTCGTCACATAACATCACCTCCACTTTCTCAATATTCTCTCCCTCTTCCACCACCACCACCACCACCACCACCACCACCAGTTCTCCTCTTTCTTTTTCTCTCCTTTCAATTCCTCAGCTTGTTCTTGGTCACTATAGTGTATAATTGAAACAAAGGTAAGTTTTTTTAGTTTTAATTTTTTGAAATTATATGTTAGATTTATCATGATGGAGGTTTTGACAACAACAACCGCCACAAACACAAACACTACTCCTTTAACAACAATTTCAAAACCATCAGAACCCGAATCAGAAAACCCGACCCGGATCCATCAACAACAACCCATTAACACAACAACAACCTCAAACATAACAAAGCCTTTGTCTTTTTCAAATGGGGTTCTCAAACGCCACCACCCTAACACTCACAACAACAACAACGTTGTTGCTGTTACTTACAAAGAATGTCTCAAAAACCACGTGGCAACCTTAGGTGGTCACGCACTTGACGGTTGTTGTGAATTCATGCCGTCACCAACCGCCACCTCCGAAGACCCCGCTTCCATAAAATGCGCTGCTTGTGGATGTCACCGGAATTTCCACCGCCGGGAACCAGAAGAACCGATTTCCACCGTTTTGGAATATCAACCTCACCACCGCCACCACCCACCACCTCCGCCGCTGTTTCAGTCCCGTTCACCAAGCTCCCCGTCTCCACCGCCGATCTCATCATACCCTTCAGCTCCACACATGCTCTTAGCACTCTCCGGTGCCGGAGTTGGACTCTCAATCCCGCCGGAAAACACAGCAGCGCCGTTAAACCTTGGTTCTCCGATGGGAGCAAGTAGAAAAAGATTCAGAACGAAATTCACTCAAGAGCAGAAGGAGAAGATGCATGAATTAGCTGAGAGAGTTGGGTGGAAGATGCAGAAGAGAGATGAAGAAATGGTTAACGGATTTTGCAATGAAGTTGGTGTTGATAGAAGTGTTCTCAAAGTTTGGATGCATAACAATAAGAACACTTTAGGAAGAAAATTATCAGATCATGTTGATGGTGACGGCGCCTCCGTGAGATCCGCCGGGGACGGTGTCTCCGGTGGTGGTTTTGGTGTTCATGAGAATGATAATAATGGGATTAACGTTGCTGCTTGTGCTACTAATGGATCTTCTTCTTCTTGATCTTTTTTTTCATGAGAGATTAAAAAAAAGAGGGAACAATAATAATAATTGATATGTTTAGATTATATTATTATAGAGTAATTAAGAGTTGGTATTAGTTAATTTAGTTTTTTTTTTCTATTTTTCTTTCTTCAATTAATTGTTTAGTTTTGTTAGTTAATGAGATTATTATGATTATCAACTTCTTGGATTATATTTTAATTTTTCAATTTATTTGTTTAGTTTTTTTAATTACTTTGAAGCCTTTGAGGGCATTTATTTTCTGGGTTCTTAACTTGATATTCCTGTTCTGATATTGTATTAAATTATGACAATATTATTATTATTATTATTATTATTATTATTATGACATTATTATTATGACAATATTATTATTATTATTATTATTATTATTATTATTAAAATTGATGATATATGTAAATTAATTTTATATTGTCAAATTATAATTATTTATCAAACATAACATTTTTTATTTTTAAATTTTTTTAAAGATACGATAGATTGATAGTTTATTATTTGATGATAATATAAAATTATTTTATATTTTTAATATATATATATATATATATATATATATATATATATATATATATATATATATATATATATATATATATATATATATATATATATATATATATATATATATATATATATATATATATATATATATATATATATATATATATATATATATATATATATATATATATATATATATATATATATATATATATATATATATATATATATATATATTTATTAAATATATTATTATTGCTAATATTATTATTATTATTATTATTATTATTTAAAAAGTTAGAAGTATGAGAGAGACTGATTACTACTGGTGTCTTAATTACACGAAACCATTATTTTTGTATGTTTATTTATGTTATATCCATTTGTCTCACAATAAATTTTACATTAAGGAGAGAAAAATTATCATAAAAAATGTCACTTTCATTTTTAATGTAAGGTTTAATTAATTATTTTTTTCAATTGTACTATTTTTTTTTAATTGTACTTTTTTAAATAGTACTATTTAACTGTCAATATGTGCATTATTTTCAAATTATTACTTTTCTTTCTTATTTATAAAAAAATAATATTGAAATATATCAATGTCTAATAAAATTGTATTTTTTAAAGCTTTTTTTAATTTAAAATAATTATTATTATGAGAACGAAAAAAAAAAAAAGTAAACTTTTTAACTCTGTTGTCATATTTATTTGGCTTCTTCTCCAAGCTCAAATTTGGTTTTTTGAGGATTAGAAAGTTAATGTAATGAACATGGCAGTGTATTATTTTTTATTTTTTATTTTTTATTTTTTATTTAATCGAAACATGATTGTTAAGCACTCTCTGTTTTTTTTTCCATGAGTCTCTGGTCGGACATGGAATAATATAATAATTATGAAATTTTCTTTCATATTGTGTGTCCGAAAATTAGAGGCAGAAAGTGTTGCTACATAGATTTTATAATTTATTATAACATATCTAAGGGCGGTGTTGAATTGATATGATAGGGTTATTCTATTCTATTCCTATCTCCATGCAAACTTTAAAAATATAATATCAATGAGCATAAACAAATCTTGTTATAGTAGAATATAGATTACATTTTTATTGTTAATTTGAGTAAAAATGATCATGTAACCAATAAGGGGAAAATAATAATGTACTTTAGGAATTATGTGGCCATATGATTCCAAAAGTAACCTTATTTATAATTTTAATTATATTCTCTCTATGATTATGCAGCCGTTTTCACAAATATAGCTATGTCCTATGATTACTTTAAGAATCTTAATCCTACTAATTTTAAACATAATCTCTTTTAATATTATAGTAATTTGTTCTTGGGAATGTTGGCATGCTCTTTCCCTTTAAGGCAAGTAGATCTAAAGATTAATTATTAATTTATTACTAAAGTAATGATAAACCTCAAAAAAATATTTAAAAATAACAAAGTGTATTATGATATTAGAGACAACGTGTTATGTCTTCCAATCTTTTGCATTATGGGTGTGTTTTGTTTTTGGTCACTTAAATAGGATTAATATATTAATTATTTTGGGTCCACTTATTGGTTTTATTATGATTTTTGTCATTGTGAAGTCATTAATCTTGTTTTGGTTAGAAGGGTGTGGGGTCCTTAGGGTCTACCCTTGATGCTCTTTAACTACTTAGGCCTGGGCTTTGTCCTTGACCCTTAATTGCCCTTAAAAATAGGGATATTTTGGAGTAGTTGATGAGGAATTTATCCTTAAAATTAGGGATATTTTGGGCTATTCATCACTTGTTTTTTCAATTCCCTACTTAAATGTAATAGTAATCCATTGTGGAAGTTTGGTCATATATCATTTTCCTTTCTTTGATTTAATTTCACATGCATTGTTCAGGACATGTGTTAGGAATTCGAATGATCTTGCATTTTTATTTACTTTATAATTTATTATTTGGTTTACAACCATGATATCTAAGGTGTTCACCTCAACATACTAGGAAGATACACCACGATAGTTTATTTTTGATGTTATGCCTACAAATTAACACACCTATTAATCAGGTATTTAGAAGAACCGACATGCTTGCACAGTTCTGAATTATATGCATTATATTCAAACTTATCTATCATAAGTGTTTGCAAAGTTCAAGATCACTTATGTAACAAGCTCAAACTTATCCGTAGATGATTTTTGAGGATACCTCAATGAAAATACCAACAATAAGGAATGTATCAGAGTCTAAAAAATTTAAAAATAAAGTGACCACTTTTTAAAATTTAACAATTAATCTATTTGATATTTGTAACACATGAGATCGAAGAAGGTGGATAGTGATTGTCAGTGCACGAGGCATAATAATAAGTGGTTTTTGGCAGCTTTTAGGGGGGAAATCGAATTTACATCAGAATGATAGAGATCCTGAGGCCGTGCAGGTAGGAGACGACATGGTTGAAGGAAAACTTATAAGGATTAATTGGTATTACATATACCAACAAAATGCATTTTCTTTTTGGTAGTCTGATAAATAAGAACTCCATAGTTAAATGTGTTTGACTTGGAGTAGTATTTGGATGGGTGACTTTATGAGAAGTTTCCTGAAAAATGTGTGAGTGAAGACAAAGTATGCTGAAAAGACCCGTGTTGGTTTGTGGGATCAGTCACTAATCCTAAAAACAGTATGGAGCGTTACGGTTAGCATATTGTCTTACTTTAACATTAGATTGTCTTTTGCAGGTACACCCTCAGAGAAAAATTTGTATGAAACCATGCAAGAAAATTGTAACATCACAACCAGTGACATAAATATTACACCATCTTCTCATGTGATTTATCCCATAAGTTTTAAAATCCGGGCATACACAATATATCAGAAGTTAAGACAAATGTCTCAACAACACGTAATATCACAACATATGTTATGACATTTGCTGACAGAACAACAACAAGATAACAGCAATGCAAAATTATACCTTGCAGAAGATAAAAGGACACACAGAATTGTTAACCCAGTTCAGTGCAACTTACCTACTTTGTGGGCTACCAAGCCAAGAAGGAAATCCACTATCAGTAGTATCAATTCAGAGCTAAATAATCTAAATTTACACCCCTCACTTAATCCCTACCCAGTGCAACTTCTATCTAGGCACCTTCTAGATATGGGAACTCCTCTCACTCCCAATCACCGCAGTGATATCAAACAATCTCTGTCCCATGGAATGTCTTAAGAAACCAAAAAGGAAGCACACACTTCTCAATTAAAATACTTAGTTTTCTTAAAAGTTTCACTAAAAACAATACTCAACTCTTGCTTAAAAACTTCGAGGAGAACAATAACTTGATAAACAAGTAACAATCAATCAACTCAAATGCATCAAAAGATACACGAGGACGTACAAAAAACACACGGAGAACCTAAGGAACTATCAAACCCTAAACTCTTATTTTTCACAAAGTTTTACAATAAAAACTATGGGTTAATGAACTTTTTGGTCCCTCTAAATATCTCAAACTTTGTTTTTAGTCCCTCTAAAATTTTACTTCAAAGAATGATCCTCCTAAAAATTTAAAATTTAACTTTTGGTCCCTCATGACAAAATCATAGCTAAAATGGTCTCTAATTCTGTCGCTAAATTAAAAACCGTCGCTAAAAATGGTTGCTAAAATCGTCGTTAAATTGTAAAAATTGTCGCTAAATTGTAACAGGGACCAAAAATTTAATTTTAAATTTTTAGAAAGACCATTCTTTGAAGGAAAGTTTTAGAGGGACTAAAAACAAAGTTTGAGATATTTAGAGAGACCAAAAAGTTCATTAACTCTAAAAACTATGCTTAAAAACTAGGTCTTGAAAGGCTCCTTATATAGACTCCTGCAGTTGGGCTTGAACTCTTCAACCAAATATAATCTTCAGCTCTAAATCCCTGCAAAATCTTCTTCACAAAAATAAAAACAAAAAACAAATCTAATCAAATATGTAATTATTCCTAATAATTCTTGATTGGCTGTGCCTATTATGAGTACTAGAAATTTCCAGAATCTCATATTTTTCAATCAAATCGTCAAGGATAAATATCCAACTGTACTGATATGATGTTTGTTGCAATATGTTATAACATCTGATAGAACATCGTCAAATAAGTATCAGTAAACTCTGTTGTACCAGCTGGTCAAGAGGTTATAACATCATGTTCAACATTAGCCTGTAATACATGTTTCCCCCAATGAAACATGTTTTGATAAAATTGTTGTCAATTTCTTGTTTTACCAAAATTGTTGCCACCCATAAAATCACAGACCTAAAATTTCCCCCTTTGACAAATTTTGCTAAAACAACCAAAATCAAATTAACCCGGAGAGAAGAATAAAATCACATACACAAGTTATATGAAACCATGTAAACTTTGTAAACACAACACAACTCAAAAGCTTGTACAATCATACAGGTCTAGTACTCCCCCTGTCACAGACAATCAGTTCACCCCCTCAAGTGA